CTGCCAGGCAAGGATTCCCCCAGACTGTGCTCTTATCTGGGATTTTCCAGACCCAGAGGCAGCACCAGCACTTGGCTATGTTAAACCTCATGAGCCGCTTCCTGAGCCCCTCTGGATGGCCCTGTCCTTGAGCTGTGTCACTGCACCCCCAGCTTGGTGTCTCCTGCTCTGCTGCTCAGGGTGCTCTTGATCTCCCATGGATTTCATGTGGAAGGGGCTACAGGACTGCATTTACAGCTCATGGTGGCAACAGGCATGTCCTTGGGCTGAAATGAGGCGATGGACAGCTCTGCAACCACACAATTAGGGAAAATTTTCTTTTTTGGGGAGTGATAAAAGCTACACAAAGGCTGAGAAGTTGTATTCCCATTCAAAAGAGAGGTCACCAAATTTGCTAGGAAAACCACAATTTTATCTCTCCTCACCCAAGGCTGCTGTGTCCAAAGCTAAATTATTGCTCTTCTCAGAGCAGCACAGCAGCCAGCTGGGACACACAGAGCTTCACCATCTCCTCAAAATTGGGACACCCAGAGCTTCACTATCTCCTCAAAACTGGGACACACAGAACTTCAGCACCTCCTTCTCACAGTTGTCCTCTGTTTCCCAAGCAGCACAGTCTCCCTATCAGTGTAGAGGGTCTTTCCAAGGGAACACTGTCTTCATTGTTGCTTGGACATTAAAATTGTTCTGAGTCCTGTGGCTGGTTTCTTAAAATCAGCAATCCCTGAACACTTTTGATGTATGGTTAGCAAAGCACTTGCCCTCTGTTGCCACTGAGGTCACCTGGGGCTTGGTGCGTCACTGTGGGGGCCATTCCCTAAAGGAGACTCTTTGTTCATGCTACTCTGCCCAAAAATCTTCCTCTGTTAAGAAACAAAAGAAAAGGTTGGACCAACTGGGAGGACTCTTTTTACCCATCTTTTATCATTTCATACACTCAAACATGCCATGTCCTTCTCTTTTCACCTTTGTTTATCTTCAACACAGGCCAAAGAACTCATGTGGGATGGAGCATCTCCAAACTGACTCTTGGACAGTACCAGAGAGAGAAAAATCACTGTTCAAACAACCAATTCTGCAAAGTCTTTGCTCTTTCCTGGGGTCCTGACATTCTTTTTGTCCCAGAGGCTCTGACTCCCTCTCAGCTGATCCCACTCCATCCCTTCCAACCCTCTAGGAATGCAGGGACTCTCTGTCTGCTGCTCTGACTAATCCAGAACATGTTACACATCCCCTGCATTATTTATACTGGCTACTTACAAGTTGATTTTTATTTATTTAAAGTTTCCATCTGTAGGTTCTGGCTCCCTTTCAAAATCTCCCACTTTCCATCGTGTTCTAATGGATATCTGTTCTCTGGGAACATCTGTCCTTAATGGGCCCTGTTAGATGTAACAGTGACACCATTTTCCATCTTATTACATGCACACAGTTTTCTGTTTGTTTTTTAAATCTCCACAATATTACAGCTTCCTTTCATTTTGAAACATCAACAACAACAAAAGAAAAAAATTAGTTTCAAGTCCTGATGAGTTTTTGATTCGCAACAAAAATATCTACACTGGGTTTGCAATGAGACACCTCAGTGCAGGGAAATATTTTGCCTTGCCTTATTTATTAAATTATTAAAACCAAGTTGATGAAAATGTGTTCGCTCACATCACTAAGGGTCTACTGTTAATTCCACTCTTTTAATTTGCTTCTTTCATCCAACTCTTGTAAGAGTTGGGATTTTTTAGGAGCTCCATCAACAGTGGTTCCTTGCTCCTCCCATTTTAAGCCCCAGGACAAGTTACAAACAGCCCCTCCACAGGGGAGTCCAACAAGCCCAAAAATCCCTCCCTGACAGGAGTAGCCCATAAGGAAGAGCAGAGATATTCATCCCACGAATGAACTTCCAACTGACCCCAAAGACTTGCAGCTCACTCACTTTCTTAACAAAAAGGGTTTCTATTTTTCAGGCCCTGCTGTGAAACTTCCATAACTAAAGTTCATGGAACAGGAACAGGTTGCCCAGAGAAGCTGTAGCTGCTCCTAGATCCATGGAAGGGTTCCAGGCCAGGCTGGACAGGGCTTGGAGCAACCTGGGATATTGGAAGGTGTCCCAGCCCAAGGCAGGGGACCTTTCCAACCCAAGCCATTCTGGGAGGATTCCTTGATGATGATTATTCTGGAAGAGGCATCTTTTGTATTTTACAGCTCTTGCCTGGTGAGCAGCAATGCCCAGCTCAGCATGCATCACCCATGGGTGGAATTCTTCCCTTTGCATCCACCTCTGGAGGATTTCACCTGCCACTACCTTGCCCAGCAGTTAATTCTGCCTCAATCCTGCTGCAGTTTGCCACAGTCAGCACTCAGCTAGCTGCAGTGCTCTGGAGGAAGCACTGGCAGCACACCCCGTGCTCATTTCGCAGCTCATTTATCAGTTGAGTATCACAGGTTTGTGCAGATTCCTTGGAGACTGTGCTGCTGTCATCCTCTCACTCAGGAAACTGCTCAGTTACTGCAACCTTCTGTTTCCTATCTTTTTGACCAAATTTTTTCACTTATTTGTAGAGCATTCCTTTTCTTTCTCATCCCTTTGGCTTTAATCCCAAATCCTCAGAGGGTTAGACACAGCACAGCACACTTGTGATGATCTACTCCTGTTCCACTGATGAAGACCCATTTTGGGGCTCATTTGCTCCTTTTAACTATCATTTGGTATCAGTCTGGGCATGCTACTCTGCAGGTAGGGCTGTGCTAACATTTTCCATCCCTGGCAGTGCCCAAGGCCAGGTTGGACAGGGTTTGGAGCAGCTTGGGACAGTGGAAAGTGTCCCTGCCCATGGCAGGAGCATGGAACTAGAAGAGCTCCCACTGGAACTCCCCTTAGGAGGGCTCTGCCCCATCTCTGTCCCAGTAGCTGAGTTGCTGCAGTTCCCCTACCCTAAATGCAGGTTTTCTCACTCAAGGAACAGGACTGCTCACTTACAGCCTGAGATCCACCCTGGCCGGGTTCCATTTTTTGGTTTGTTTGGGGATTTTTGGAGAGGAGGAGGCAGATGGGCTGGTTCCACAAAAATCAGTTCCAAGGCTGCTAGTCTGGCACCTTCCTCCTACTCTCCAGGCAAGGTTGGCTTCACACCTGCACCGATTCACACTTGATGGAATCAGGTTCAGAACTTGATATTTTAGATCTAAAATTTTATTTATTCTGACTTTATAACATACCTAGGTTCTGAACTATTTTGAGGAAATGGCAGCTCTTGGAGGAACAGGTGTCCTGGCAAATTCTGGAGTTGTGAAAGCTTCAGCTACGTGCTACAACCAAACACTTTCCTTGAAAAATAAATTGAACTTCCATATGCTGAAACTCTTGTTTACAGCAGTCCTCTGCTCTTAGTTCCTAACACAATGGCTTTTGATTAATAAATTTTATGCTGCATTTATTCCACTAATCCATAAAGTCAACAAAATTCTTTTGTGCAATTCTTGTGTCCTTCACAGCATTACAGCAATTTCAAAACCTGCATCAAAGACCTTGTGCCAAGGTCACTTAAGGAGTATTAGGGAGGGTTCTTCATGAGACCTGTCCCTCAGGAATGCTTCTGATTCCTCCTCTGCACCTGGAGCTCACCTCATCCTGTCCCAGTCCCCTCTTTTCCAAGCTCCTTATCTGCCTTAGCCAGCTCCTTATAATTCCTGTATTAATCTGTGCCATCTCCGCTTTCAATAATAATTTCCTCTGGGATCTGCACTGAATAAATGCTGCCTATAAATCCAGGGAACTTAAGCCCCCTGCAACTCTGTAGTGTGAGATGTTCACTGGCTCAGCAAAAAGAACCAGCCTGGTACTCAGATCAAATCACCTGCTGAGCACAATTTCCCCTTTTATCCCACTTTTCACTCAGGACCTTCTGGATTACTCTTTGTTCCAAACCTGACCTCAAACCTGCTGATCTGCATGGACTTTCCAGGATCTCCTTTAGCCCAGTATTCTCACATCAGAATGCAATCTATTCCCAGATGGAAATAAACATTAAAGGTTTTTGCTAGGGAGCAGAGATAACAATTGAAAAAGTGATGGATTCGCTTTCTCCAAAGGAAGTTGCTAACAAAGCCAAGAGCTTTGCTATGCTTTAGTCAAATAAATCACACAGACTCAGCAACAAAAAATCCCAACTAAAAGGAGAATTGGAATTGAAGGATGATTTTCCAGCTTCTTCCCTTGACAGCAGCATTAAACTGATGTGGATGCAGAAGGAGACCTGCCCTGACAATTTCTTTGTCAAGAATTAGTTCCTGCCGTTCGAGAACAACTGTTTCATATTGCTCATCAAGTTTTGAATCTTGATCTGAATTTTTCCTAGGAAAAAAACCCCTTTTTTTTGTTGCAGTTTATGTTGGCACCCAAGTTCAGTGGCCAGAAAAAAGAACCTTCCACATTTCCTCCTCCTACTCCTCCCCTCCTGCCACTCTGTGTTCAAAATCCCAGCCAGAATTCAAACACAACTTGAGGGGAAATAATCCTGGTCATGAGATGTGCATTCCCAACAAAACCAAGCCTCTGTTCCCTGTGGCCCAGCAGAGCTGCTGAGCCCATTTCCATCTTGTGATTCCAATCAACAAAATTTTCAGTGTCACCGAGTGTGCATCAGCCAGCATTCCAGAGGGACACATTTTCCCTCCTTTCCCCACCACATTTTCAAAGTTAGTAATTTCAAAGGCATGACCTTCACCATGGAATCATGGAAACATGGTTCTCATTGTTTGTCTGTACAGACATCCTAAAACATTCCTGAATTTAACACCAGGAAGTCAAAAGTTAAGGAATACAAAGAAACAAGAAATAATGTCGTTTTCAGGAAGTGCAGTGGACAAATTGGCAAAAAAAAAAAAAACATCCAGAGATGAGCTCAGCCTCAAGGAACACAGATTATTACAAATATTCAAGAGAGAATTTTGAGAACAATTTCCAGCAAAAACATGCTTACATTAAAAGGAAATTATCACAGTACCTTAACTGCACTTCTCAGCCATAGCTGTGGAGATTATATGTTGATCACCTGGAAAATGAAAAATAGAAGATTTATGATATTGTTCATATCTTAATTACTGTTTAAGAAGAGCAACTAATCTGACACATTTTGCTTTATTTAAATAGTTTTCACTCCCCAAACAAACAGAGAAGAGCAGAACACATAGCTTTCAATATCAGCTGTTTTATTCCTGATAAAGGCAGCTTCAGTAAGAAAAAAAACAAGAAAACAATGCCTGGGGTTTTCATTAAAGTAGTTTACATATTTTCATGAAGGCTGTCAACGTGGAAACCAGGGAGAAATTCATAACAAGCTTTATCCTTCTAAAATACCTACCCTAAAACACATCAGGCACTTATCTGTAATTTGTTTTGAATCAAATATATACTCTGCCCTTCCCCAAGATGAAATATTGAACAGGAAAATCTCTGACTGGCTCTTTCCAGCTCCTTTTTGCCATGTGCTTGTGAGTTATCCCAGGGACAGAGAACACAAGTGGGGGGTGCAGGGGTATTTTGGGGCTGCTTCTCCAGTGTTTATCCAACTGAGACTGTGCCATGGAGGAATTCAGGAAAATTCAGGAAGCATTTAAACTTCCAGGCATGGACTGGGTTGGAGGTTTCCCCTTTCTCCCAGCACCAACGGAAATACAGGGCAGAGACCCCAGGCCTCTAAACAGGGAGAGAGACCCAGAATAGTGGGAAGTACCTTGAAACTTGTTATTGAGGGGCTTGAAAATCAAATTATCCAGGTGCTGGGCTCATTTCACCTTTTTCTTTTGGGAAAATCCATATAATACATATAATTCCTTCCCAATCTCCCATCCATCCCTGCCCTCTGGCACTGGGAAGCAATTCCTTGTGTCCTGTCCCTCCATCACTTGTCCCTAGTTCCTCTCCAGATCTTTTATAGGCCCTTTAGGCCCTGGAAGGGGGTCTGAGCTCTCCCTGCAGCCTTCTCCTCCCTAGGCTGCTCAGCGCAGAATATTCCATTGGAATTTGCCAGCTCACCATGCTCTCCAAGCAGAAAAAAGGAATATTAGGCACACATAGTTTGCTTTGCAATAACCCAGCAAAACCTGCTGCCTTATTCTGAGGTGGAATAAATCCACACCACATTGGGCAGTGAGACTTAGGAGATAACTCCCAGCTTTGAAGGCTGATAGAAATTTGGGGAAATATGTGCATGTTGGGTGGACTTCCAAGAAAATATTCCATAAAGGGAAACAACACGATATTTTCATAGCCTTCAGAATGTAACTGAGTATAAATGGGTAAAGCCTAATTAACAAGACACCAGATGTGTGTGGGAGTGCATCACTCTTCCCAGGTCTGCTTGACCAAATCATTTATCTCTTCTAAATATAATTACATATATATACACAAAAAGAAGAACTACATCCAGACAAAAATAAGTCACAGACAGCACGCAGTTCATTACAGCAGATATTTGTTTGTATTTCTGAAGACATCCAACAGTTCTAATATATTTGAAAAAAGAATATGTGTTTCCAGCATAGAAATATTTTGCTGAAACTTCCACCTGAAAGAATACCTATTCTCTGCTTTAAACAGAGCTGGAGAAGAGAAGGCTCCAGAGAGACCTCCAAGTCCATTGCAGTGCCTAAAGGGGCTCCAGAAGAGCTGGAGAGAGACTTTTCCAAGGGATGGAGGGACAGGACACAGGGAATGCATTCCCAGTGCCAGAGGGCAGGGCTGGATGGGATATTGGGAATTAGGAATTATTCCCTGGCAGGGTGGGCAGGCCCTGGCACAGGGTGCCCAGAGCAGCTGTGGCTGCCCCTGGATCCCTGGCAGTGCCCAAGGCCAGACTGGACTTTGGGGCTTGGAGCAGCCTGGGATGGTGGAAGGTGTGCCTGCCCACGGCAGGGGTGGGATGGGGGGGGTCTTTAAGGTCCATTCCAAAATTGAGGATGGGATGGAAGATGCTCTGGGCTGTGTGAAACACAGGTACCTTCTGCCAGCAGCCTGGTCACCTCTGGATTCCACCCCCAAAAAATCCACACTGCTAAGGCTGCAATTGCTTTGCCCAGGGAATTCCCAGTCCCTCAGGCATGGATGAGAGGTACTAAATGAATTCCACTGCCATGACAACAGTGTTTCCTCCTTGCTTTACTCAGAGATTAATGCCCATTGTCAGCAGCTTTTATGATAAATGATCGTCATTGTGAATTTTGGTAATGAAGATGCATCATGCTGTGTGTTGTTCACACACTGCAGAACACTTCTCCTCTAATCAGCAAGGGCTTGGAGTTCTAGAGATTGTTTTGCAGAAAAAAACCCCAGGCTGTTGGGATGGGAATTGGTTTGTATTTTAATGCTGGAAATAGAGCCAGAGTCTTCAATTCTGAATTTCCCTGGAAGGTGATGACAGAACTTTGGGCTTTGTGTGAGAGGAGCAGGTGAAAGCAAGAACTGCTGGACCCATTTCATCCAAACTATATATAATTTTGGGGTTTACTTTGGGTGTTACACCCTCCCTGGAAAGGATCAGTCACCCCTTTGGGCTCTCACACCCCTGTTAGTGGGAGCAGAGCATTTGGTGCCCACTGAACACAAAATCTGCTTTGGTTTCCTCATTCACAGGCACAAAACCACACAGAATTGACCCAAAATTCAATAAACAAGAATAAGCACCAATGGCATTAGAATAATTGTGCCATATTGTGCTCATGTTCCATGCTGAAATTAAAGAATAATATAACTTCCACAATTAACGCCCATCGTTAAATCTGAAGCGTTATTTTGGTGCATTCCTAAGATTCTCATTTTTGAGGGAAGCCTTCTCCTTTTTAAGGGCCAGGGAGATGATGAAAGGGATGGAAAGGCTGGGAGATCTGGAAGCATTCCCCTGGAGAAGAGAAGGCTCCAGAGAGACCTCCAAGCCCATTCCAGTGCCTAAAGGGGCTCCAGGAGAGCTGGAGAGGGACTGGGGACAAGGGATGGAGGGACAGGACACAAGGAATGGTTTCCCACAGCCAGAGGGCAGGGCTGGATGGGATATTGGGAATGAGGAATTGTTCCCTGGCAGGGTGGGCAGGCCCTGGCACAGGGTGCCCAGAGCAGCTGTGGCTGCCCCTGGATCCCTGGCAGTGCCCAAGGCCAGGCTGGAGCACCCTGGGACAGTGGAAGGTGTCCCTGCTCATGGCAGGGGTGGGATGGATGGGATTTAAGGTCCCTTCCAACCCAAAGCACCCTGGAATTCTGTGGGAAAAGCTTAGGTGCGTTCAAAATGCAGTTTGGCAGCTCCATGCTGGAAGTGTCCAAGGTCAGGTTGTATGGAGCTTGTAACAGCCTGAAATAGTGGAAAGTGTCCCTGCCCATGGAACTGGATGAGCTTTGATGTCCCTTCCAACCTCAACCATTCCATGATTCTCTGATTAAATAGTGGGGTTGGAAACTGGATTATGGAAATGGGGTGAGAGGTGGGGAAAGGTTTAGGTTTAAAGTCAGGGCTCTGGGGTTTTGGTGCTTGCACCTTTCCAAAAAGGCCTCAAAGCTCCCTGCCAGTCTGACCCTACCTGAACCCTCCTGCCCTCCACAGGCACCATTAGTTGGGAATTTAGAAAAAGATCACTTTGTTCGTTTCTTGGCCCTGCCCTATTTGTTCCTACCTGAAGTTTACTTTTTTCTCCCCAGCATGACATTTCCACTCGGCCTCCTCTCTACCCAGAGAAGTAACTCATGCAAGCACTCAGAAATGTAAAAAACCAGCATGAAGACCAGTATTACCTCAGCTAAGGAAAGCAAATTCACATTTTTCATGAAGCAAGACTCCTAAATCTCTCCTGCAGCTTTGAAAATTACCCTCTTCATTTTAATTAGGCCAGTGTTACCTGTAATGATGCTTGCAGTGTGTACATTTTCCTCTATCACCCCTAGCAAAATCCATCTCTGTATTCTCTCAGTTGCTCACCCGGCCTTTTGATGCAGAATTTTAGAAATTTTTATCCCTAACTCAAGAACTTAAAGAATACTGATCAGGCCTTGAAATATTCACAGAATATTTCTGCTTTCTGCAAGGACAAATCTCTCTCATTTTTTGCTGCTTGCAAGGCACATTCATGAACCAAAATTGGTTGGGGTGGGGGCAGCAGAATTCCTTGGCTTTCAACATTTTTTCTCCTTGCCTGCAGCAAAAACCAGGGTTTGGTTTTCCCTTAAAATTGTATTAAAAGATTTCAGCAGAAAAAAACACAAATGCAACTATATCCTCTAGAAATAATACAACTAAATACTCATCTGCTCCAGGTTTCAGTTATAAATATATGCTCATATATTACAAATTTACTGGTAAATATACACTCAAATCTACACAAATTTACTGGTTATAAAGAAATAAATACAGATTTTGTTCCTAGCATCTCTTGGAAAACAACCATCTTCCAAAAAGGGTCCATCAAACACTACAAATAAGTAAAGGATACTAGCCTGGCATTTTTATTAAAAGTTTTCTTGTCAAATCGAAGCCATGAAAATCTGATTTACTGCCAACTTTTTTGTGGAAAAATCAACCCAGTCATGTTTTTCTTGGCAATGGGAAGTAAGCTTGAGTCAAAGTAAGATTTGTTTTAGCATTATTTCATGTTTTCTGAATACATTTCATATATATTTATGTCTGCCTCTGTTTCTACTGCATGGAAATGCTTCTCTCACCCAGCTGGTGGAACTTGCTTGGCTGCACATGGGAGCAGTGATTGAATTCCAAAATGAAAATCTAAGTTTTCTTTTCTGTGCTCTTTGCCACACAAACTCACAACTGCATTTCAAGTGTATTTAAAGAATTTACTGCTTATGATAAAATTAAACCTCCAAAGCAGTTTTAAAAAGATGTAAGGATTTTTTCCTAAAGGCAGTTTGTTCAAAATTCCACAGCATTGAGGAAAATGTTTGGTTTTAGGGAGTTCAAGCTGCTCAAGGTGGAACCTCAGAGTCCAGTGTGACATTCTGATAAATCAGATCAGAAAAAGGAATTCAATAAGGCACTGAACTTTCCAGATTTTTGAA